CCTGCTGAATGCTTGGTGTTGAAAACATCACGGGTGGCCTAGCTGGGTGCAGAATGAAACAGCTTCAACTCCCTGCATACTTCCTTCTGCGGGAAATGACCAGCACAACCCCTCTGGAAAGTGTCTGGGATTAACTCTGCCTGAAAAGAGGTAGGTGTCACTCATCCCTTCTGAGTTTACCCACCTGATCTGTGACTCCTCCTCACCATTACCCTGGCCACAACTGACTGCATCCTAACTAGCCTGGAAACTTAAACTTTTTTGAACTTTCCAATCCTCCAGTAGTACCTGGATATACATCTGGACTCCAGGTAACCCTCTAATTATCCCCAAGGACCCACATATACATTAACCTGACATCCATTATCCAAACCACCAGGATGTAACCAGATCTTCTGGCACCCATCTTCCAGACCACCTAGCATCCATCATTCTGACTGCCTGACATCTGCCATAAGCATTCTGGACTAATCCTAGTGTTACCAGAGAGTGGGATCCTCTCCCAGCGTGTTGTCCAGGTTCTTGATGTCTTGAACAAAGAATTGAGCAAGACACCGAAATACAGTAGAAAAAGAAAAGTTTTATTAGAAAGGAAAGTACACTTCCAGGTGTGGAAGCAGGCCTGAGCAATAGAAGCGTGGCTCAAAAGGCCTGGTAACAAAGCCTTCAGGGTTTTTATTCCTTTTTGCTGTGGGTAGTTACTTTTCTTAGAGGAGTGGGCTTCCTTGATTGACAACTAAGATTGACAGGGCTCAGTGATTCATCATTTCGCTTTCTGCACGTTTGTTCCCAGAATTCAGTCTGTTATAATGATATTAACGAACTTCCAGGCATATGCATCATATTATAATGATGGTATAATGAGACTCAGGTAGTTGAAGGTCGTTGGGGTCTTCACTGCGTAGGTGCGAGTGACTGGCTTAAACTGGTACCTAAATCTCTGCCTACTGGTTTCTTTCTATGAGTTAAAAAAATGCCATCTGGCTTGCTTAATTGTGGGCGGATTAGGGCGGACCCCTTCTAGGATAGGATGACCTCAGTGTCTGCAGGCAGACCCAAAACCCCCTGACTTTCCTGCCTACCTCTTTTCTAAGAGCCATGAGCTGAAGTGCCACCTCAGTCCCTAGACAAGGAAAAGAAAATAAAAACTCGTTATTTAAATCGTTATTAAAATAAACTTGTTATTAATATAAACTCGTTATTAAAATAAAAAATAGATGTACTTAAATACATCTATTAATTTCTATTGTTAATTTGCCTATTAAGCGAGTAAAGGGAAACAGACATGGTTAATATATTTCTTAAAGAGTAAAAAGAAAGACCTTTGGCCTAAAGTCCCCTCCCCTACTCAGACTCTATGGGCCCTGCCTGGCCTAACACCATTTCTGCTTAACAAAGGGTTGATGACCCTTATCAATAGCCAGAGGATCTGAATCACCAGGGCACTTATCAGGATTTGAGGGAGGGAGCCTTTTTCCAAAGAAAGGAGGGAAGAAAACTAGGTTTACTAAAAAGATTAACTCTGCAAGAGATGTCCCATTTCATTTCCTGCTAAAAGATTAAGAGTTTTACAAATGATGTCCGGTCTCACTAAGGCTAAGAATGCATGACTGATAATTCTCAAGAATGTACTTTTTACTATAAGAATTTTTAACTTTTCTTTCTTCTTTGGAACACTTCTAGATTTTTGCCTAGCGGTGTTCCCGGTTTGCAAACTCCAAAACTCTTGAATAAATCTCTATCATTCATTTCTAGCAGAGCCTCCAGACTCTTAGCATTCATTTGACAGCACTATAGTAGAGGAGAAGGTACAGTGCAGAGGCAACAGCGGACGTGCTCTCCAGCACAAGTAATATCACAGAACAGTGTGTGGTGTGTGACTTTCCAGAATAATAACTTTTAGTGCCTCTGCTTGCCCTGGGCTGTTCTCCTAAGGATCCTTTTGATTTTGTGGAAAGCAACAGCCAAAGAGAAAACTGTACACAGTAATATGTATATTTCAGTTGGAGTCTAAGTCAAGGGAGCATGAACCCAATTCTCTTCCTCATCTTTCAGGTCTTGGTGGACCCTGCACCCTCCATTGCACAATTCAGAAGCTTGGCACTCAGTAGGCACTCAATAAATGTCTGTGCCAAGTGAAAAAAACTTGCTGGGGCAAGTAGAAGCCAATCCTGCGTCCCTCCCTCCCTTTTTTCCTCCCTGGCAACCTATGAGGCTCTGGTTTCCTTCAAGAGTGAATTATTCATGTCTGCTCAAAGATATCAAATTGGCCCTTTCCAGGTTGCCAGCAGGGTGGGGCAAGGAGGTGGCTTTGTTCAGTCTGTAAGTGGGAGGGGCAACCCCCTCGTTCAAACAGTGCTTGCAGGTGGATGACCATTTTTGCTAAGTCATTCTGGGAATGCTCAAAGCCCTATTGTGAGAGCCTTCTTGTCCCAGTTTCCTCCTTCCTTACCACTCCTTTAAAAGACCCTGAAGTAGGCTCACGCCACTCTGCCAGTCTCACCCTGCCCTTGCACGATGGCTTACATTGCCAAGTCCTTCTACGACCTCACTGCTATCAGCCTGGATGGGGAGAAGGTAGATTTCAACACATTCCGAGGCAGGGCAGTGCTGATTGAGAATGTGGCTTCGCTCTGAGGCACAACCACCCGGGACTTCACCCACCTCAACGAGCTGCAATGCCGCTTTCCCAGGCGCCTGGTGGTTCTTGGCTTCCCCTGCAACCAATTTGGACATCAGGTGAGGGGTCCATTATATTGCACTCAAGGAGTTGGGTTGTCTAGTAGGCCAAGGGGAGGGGAGAATGACTGAATGTTGGAGTGTCTGGAATTGTGGGGGGTGTTTTGTTAATCTAGGTCTTTAGTACATGTGAATACTGAGGGGAAGTATATGTGACTCTGTCTGTAATTAAAGACCAGGGGTATGATTTTTTATTGTTCATTGTCTTCCCACTATACTCGTTGAGGGCTAATACCAGGTCTGTTTTTCTCTCCATTGTGTCATCAGTGCCTAGGTTATAGTAGGCACTCATTAAATACTTAACAAATGATTGAGTGGAAGAAATAGAAGATCAAGAATTAAACTAGGATTGATCTGACTCAATAGACCTTAGTTCTAGCTAGACTTGGTTCTACTATTTAATGGCCCTGTGCCCTAGAAAGAGTCACTCAATTTTTCTGTTTTAGTTTCCTTGCCTTTAAATTGGGGATAATACTACTTATCTCATGGGATTATTGTGAGGCTCCGAGGATAAAATATACCAAAGTAACCTGAAAAATATAAAGCAATATGAAATAAAAATATATAAAGCAAATGCAAGCAACTTTACTATTTAGATTGAAGATTTTGTTTGTTTGAAACCAGCCAACTGGAGAGTGAATTTGAGGGAAAGCGAAGGGTTTGCAGTGTGCATGTGTCTCCTCTGGGCATCCCATGCACCTCTCTGTCTCTGATTAATGGGTCATGTTGTTATAGATCTTCAGCCCACATACCTCAAGTTATCTTTTAGGGATTCTTCTCTTTTCACTTATTAACATCACAAGCAAGTAGAAAGTCCTCAAGTGAACCCTCCAATTATAATCCCCTTAGTTCAATTCACAATGGCATGAAGGCGATAAAGAGATTAGCAGAGAGATACATGAAGGAAGGCTGACAAACCTAAACCCAAGCCATTACTGCTTTCACTGTTCCTTCCCTGTCTGTTTCTAGGCTTCACCAAAGCACGAGAGAAAAGGCATGTCTCAATAGCCCATCACCTCAGGCTTGCTAGTTGCTGGAGGGAGTCCATAACCTACCAGTAGCCAGCCAGCCATTTGCATCAAGAGATAAGAAGTCTAATAGAGATTAACTCTGGGCTCAAGATGCCATGAAGCCCTATAACTGACTGTACTAATTGGTTCTAGTCAGTAGAGCAGGAACTTTCTCCCAGTTGGAGATACTGACTCTTAGGCTTGGAGTGGAGGTGGAAAAAAAGGGTTTCCATGGGTCTTTTGGGAATGTCAAGGGTAGAGAATGCTCAGTGGGGACAGAATAGTGATGGCAGTGGGAAGGGAGACAGGTAACAGGTTTAGAGCTAAAGCATTCATAGCCAAGTAGTGTGACTGAGTAAGAGGTACAGGAGTCTTGGGATAGCAATCTAGAAGTAAAAAGAATAAATACACATTCACAAACTTTAGCCCTCAAGCACTTAATTTCCTTAAATTCCTCTTCCCCTGACCTATTCCAGAACCCTAAACCCCGTATCCTATTTAATTCATCCCTGTTAGTCACTAAGTAATAACATTTAGAATACATTCATTGATGTCTCTAATTCACTTTGCCTTTGTTGCACCTGAAAACTAGACTCCCTTGGATGGGGTCTTCCTTCATCAAAGATTCCTCCTGCTTGCACTTCACATCTAGGACAAAGCAAGATGAAAGCGAGAAGCTATAAATCCCATTCCTCTAGGCCTCAATTTCACCCTTAGTTCGAGGAGCTGAGTAGAGGAAAGCAAAAGCCTCAACACTCACATGTAATTAGAAGCAAAAGAGGCAAGTGTGTGTGTGTGTGTGTGTGTGTGTGTGTGTGTGTAGTAGGAGAGTTTGAAGCAGTGTGAATTCAGCCTCCTTCCCCTTCCTACTGCCCTGAACTTAAGGTTCCTTGAAGCTTCAGATACCCTAAGAACTGCTTAGCGTAGATCACAAAGAAAACAGCTCAAAATGCTAAATAAATCTTTCAGTATAAGAACAGCCAAGCTAGTAACTGCAAGAACTTTCAGAACTGGCCTAGCAAAAACATCAATAGCTATGGGAGGGAAAATTCCAAGCCAAGAGCAAAACAAAGCACATGAAGAAGGGAAGAAAAAGAACAGAGAGAAAAAAAAAAGGATACATAGAAAAGAATGATCCTAGGAAGGGAATATAGGAGGTGAAAGATGTGCATGTTGTAGACCCTTCATCTCCCCTTCCCTTTTCCATGCTCTGTGTCTTTTCCTCCCCCAGGAAAACTGCCATAATGAGGAGATCCTGAACAGTCTCAAGTATGTCCGCCCTGGGGGTGGATTCCAGCCTACCTTTACCCTTGTCCAAAAGTGTGAGGTGAATGGTCAGAACGAGCATCCTGTTTTCGCCTACCTGAAGGACAAGCTCCCTTATCCTTATGACGACCCATTTTCTCTCATGACTGATCCCAAGTTCATCATTTGGAGCCCAGTGCGCCGCTCAGACGTGGCCTGGAACTTTGAGAAGTTCCTTATTGGCCCAGAGGGGGAGCCCTTCCGACGCTACAGCCGCACCTTCCCTACCATCAACATTGAGCCTGACATCAAGCGCCTCCTCAAAGTTGCCATATAGACACGAGCTGCTCAGCACACAGATCTACTCCATCCAGCCCCTGAGTATCTTTCCTTAGGATTCAGTGTGCCCTCAGGAGAAGATGCTGGACCTAAGCTTTCCCTTAGATCAGTCCCTTTCATTGAAGAGCCTTGCCTTTCAGGTCTGCCCATTTCATTTTTCTCTCCCAACTTTCTGGTTGGTGATTCAACTTGGGCCTCCAAGACGTGGGTGGGCACTGGGCCTTCACAGAATGATGGCACTTTCCTAAACTTGTATGGGCGGTGTCTGAGACATGTGAAGGGCCCTGAGCCAACCTGCTAGCTGAGTCCAATAAACGGCAGGTGTGGAAATGGCCAGGCTCTCTGTGTCTTCCTTGACAGGGTAGAGGGATGGTACGAAACTGCAGGTGGGACAGAGGAGCTGGCAGCACACAAACGCTTGAGAGAGAAGGCTCTGATCAAGGGGACAGCAGGCCCTGGTCGAGGTCTGCTGTGGCAGCTAGAATTGCAGGAAATGTAAATTGTATTATTACTTTATGGCTCTTTTCCAGAACTGTGGAGGTGATAAGGAGGGGTAAAGAAGAGGCCCTTTGACTGAGGTACTAGGAGGTCAGAGGATTTCAGTCAGGAAGACTTTACTATGAGTGGATACTGGGCTAATTTAAATATTACCGGCACCTTAAGAATTTCCCGAGAAATCGATTTGATCAACTTTTACTAATACCAAGGACAGAGAGGGTGCAGTTACTGGAACACAAAGAGCACGTCATCTTTTTCCCAATCACCTTGCTGAGTAACCTTCATTTTTGATCCTTTGCTAGACTGACTCTCCCTCCTTTTTAAAGTTTACATCCCACCCTTATTTTTCTCAAACTCACATGTTCACAAACTCAGGCACGAGACAAGTTTAGGCATGAACGACTGGTTTCAATCCTTCCTCCATGAGGAGGGGGATGGGAGAGGGCCTTCCTGCACAGTCAGACTGTTCATAACCTGCCAACATGATAGCTGTTCTCTGTGATAACAGTTCTGCTGAATGGCTTTGTAAGGGTGATGCCCCAGATTCCTCATCTAGTACAGGCACACTCAAAAAACATCACCACCACCAAGGCCAAGTCCTATCATGTTCTGGAAAACACGCCTGCTGAAAGGTCATTGTCCTGTTACTTTGCTCCATAAATCTCTTCCTGGAAACTTTTCATTTCACCTTTCTTTCTTTGACCACTAGATGGAATATTTTACTTCTCTTTATTGAAACTCTGAATGACCAGTTCTCCAAACTGAACACACAGCTTGAGAACCCCAATGCTGAGAGAGAAAGGCTCTTTCGAAGATATCCCATAACTATTTTCTAAGCATTTGCATCATCTGAGAAGCAAATGTGGAATAGAGGTTAAGGATGCCCACTGTCTGACCTTCAACTAAAGCTACGCCACCGACAGTGCTTTATTTCCAAAGGGTAACCTGAGTGTTACAGTAGGAATCCCCTGGCATCCATCTGCAGCGCCTTCTGCTAAATTAAGGCTGCCCTTAACTTGACTCTTGAAATCTCAAAGCTTTCAAGATTCCTTCTCTTAAAGCCAACGATTGGGATATAGATTTTGGGGGGAAGGGCCAAGCACTGATTTTAGAGCAGTAACCAGACACAAATTGCTTCCCTGAAGAAAGGAAATACAGAATTAATGTTGGATGCTAATATGATTTGTTCATCATCTTGATAGTGCTATAGTCTGTAGTTCTATCCAATAACAGAACCAGCTATCCTGAGTGTTGGCATTATGCCACAGGCAATTTAGGGCCTGATATGCCAGTATGATGTGTTGGGTCTTTCCCATGAGGCTCAAGTTGAAATAATTATTTAGAGATCCCAGAGGAATGGGAATTACAGTATAAGTGATTTTGCAGAAAGAGTCAGAAAGAACCATAATGCTAGGAAGAGGGCTCCCCACTTGTGCAAAGGAAATGCTCTTTGCTTCAGAAGGGACCTGCCCAGTTTGGCTCAGGAGGGAACAGGGAAGGCAGGACTGGAGGAACTTTACAAGGATACTTCGTTTTACTAAATCCTTAGCTGTGTTGTTAAAATAAAGATAAATGCGAAATTGTTTCCTTTCCTTAATTCATCTTGTTACCCTTTACATCCTCAGAAGTATCAGCTTATGGTCATAAACAGACAAAGCGAAGCTTAATATAATCACCCACTTTCCTAGATCAACGAAATCTTTTAATCAAATTTCCCTAGGCGCACTCAGGAAGTAGGGAGAAGTCTCAAAAACAAGCTTTCCCATAAGTGCTGAGGTAATGCTACTTGATTTAGAGGAGGAACAGAGAGAGTCATTTCTCTGAGTGCTCTTACCAAAAGCGTAGGTTGAAATAATTGATTTTAGGGGACCAAGATACCAGACTAAAACTGATGATTACTTCCAGGACTATGCTCCTACAGCTATTTGTCCATAGTTTAAGAAACAGCCAAACTCTAATTGGTGATTTCACATCTGGTGACTTATCATCGCCATCACAACCATCATCCAAACTACCATTTACCATACTCATACAATGCACTAAATATTTATGTTAGATTAGTTAATCCTCATACTGATCCCATGAGAAATTTTGATCTCTATTTAAAGAGAAGGTAATTGAGCAAGGCACCTGCCAAGGACAAATGGCTATAGAGTAACAGAGTAGAAAGTTAAACCCAGGTCAGCCTGACTCCAAAGCCCCTACTCTTAACCATGACACAACAGTGCTTCCTTCTAAGAGTTCCTTCATGAAGGACAGTGACAGCTGCCTGTATGCGGCATTGCACAACCTAAAAATCTTTCACTTACATTATATCATTTGATTTAAAAACTCCATGAAGGAGGCATGATTATGTCTATTTTTACATTGAAGAAACAGAGGTACAGACAGAATTAGTGACTTGCCTAATATCCCATTATGAGCAGGTGGCAAGGCTAATATTTTATCTAGATTTCTGGATTTTTCTACCCAACCATAGTGTATTTCACAATGGACTTGTACAATGAAGAAACATACATTTTAAGAGCAAGAGCCTTAAATTCAGGCAAATAACTTAGGCTTGCTCATAAAAGAATGAAACTGAAAAACTTCTTGATACACTGAAATAAAGAACAGTGAACATATACATCTTAGTGATAGCTTACAAGTAACAAACCATATCTAGTTGTGCCTAGACTATATCATATGTCAATAAATTAGTATTGGGAGAACTCAGGACCATTCGAGAAAGACCTAGCTAGCTAAAACAACACACAAACATGCTGAACTTTGAACTTCAAGTGCCTAACTAGGCAGATCCCAGATCTGTACCTCATGGAGCAAGTAGAGAAAGAATGAGGTGCCAGGACAAACCCATGTTCCGAATGTCACCTACAGGTCAAGTCTTTTCTTTCTTGTATCTCAGGGTGGGAAGGAAAAAAAAAAAAAAAAGCCCAGTGCTTTTGCCTGGTTCTTCTTTATCAGAACAGAAAAATGCAGATTAAGTAGAACTGGGTTCAAAGATCTTTATTCTATTAGATCCAGGGACTTCTAGAAGACAAAAAAGAAAGTATCAAAACACATAGCACAATTTTGGTTAAATAATAATATGCATATGATATGTTTTAAATTTTTGTAGTATATAGTCCAAGATAGATAATCATAAATTCTACAATAGATAAGGATATCAGGAAGGGCACATAAATTACTCTTTTGAGTTCCAAATAACTAAGTTGGAAGCATTCAAACTCCAAAAAGGGACAATTCAGAGGCTATAATGGGCTTAGTGCTGCTATTTAAAGTAATGAAGCATTCTCTCTGCTTTCTGGATTCATTTTACCAAATGATTTCCTCAGCAGGTCACATATAGATTTGCAAAAAGTGGAAAACATTTTTCCAGGAATAAAACAACTGATTTCTCAGGAGCAGCTGATTTAACTTTTCCAAATAATCTTGGTCTGACATGCCTAGATTTCTCAGAGTGTGGTCAGTGATATTTTCAACCTCTTCCTAACCTTGTCTTGCCCTTATACTGCATGTGTACTGAACACTACTGAGAGGAAGTCACTGTACTAGCTGTGTGACCTTGAGTAAGCTACTTAATTTCTTTGTGCCTTAGTTTCTTTGGCTTTAAAATTGGGATAACAATAACTACCACGTGAAGTTGTTAATGAGGATGAGGTCCGTGCTTAAAAAGGCCTTGGCACATAATAAGTACTCAATAAACCTCAGTTATTATTATTGTTCCTGTTGTACAACAAAGCTTTCCCCTGGTACCAACAATGAACATTTTGCTTCCTTTTTTTCTTATAAAGCAAAGCCTGAGGTCAGAATGCCCAAGTCTCCAATCTGAAGAGGAAAACAATTTTGTCTCTAATGCCTGACCCTTTTAAATTTGGTCTCAGAATGAGAAGAACTGAAACCATCTCATTCCATCTAGTACTTTATATGCCTTTCAAAGCATTTTACATTCATTGTGCATTTGGATCTTCTTACAATCCTGTAAAAGAAGTATACTATCAATCCTTAATACCCCAATTTTATAAAAAGGGGACAATAAAATCCAGAGTACTGTTTTGCTTAATGGCTATACTGCTACCAAATGGCAGAGAGACCTAAAAGCCAGGGTTTATAGCACCCAAGCTAGTGTTCTTTCAACCATGCAAGGTAAGATATTCTAAGATCTCCTTGGAGCAATTGAAACCTCTGTTTGTATTAACTAAAGTCCATACTTTATTCAGATTTCCCTAATTTTCACCAAATGTCCTTTTTCTGGTGCAAGATCCCATTCAAGACACCACATTACATTTATTTTTTATTAAAAAAAATTTTTTTTAACTAAAGAAATGATTTAAATTTTTTTCCCCCTGTCTACTTACCCCCTCCCCCTCCCCTCTGGTCCACATTGCATTTAGAGTCATGTCTCCTTCGGCTCTTTTTGGCTGTGCTATGAGAGTTTCTCAGGCTTCCTTTTCCTTATCTTTGATGACTTGACAGTTTTGAGGAGCACTGGTCAGGTATTTTATAGAATGTCTCTCAACTGGTCTTGTCTGATGTATTTCTCATGATTAGACTGGTGTTATGGGGTTTGGGGGAAAAGACTACAAAGGTAAAGTGTGATTCTCATCAAATTCTATCAAGGGTACATGCTATCAACATGGTTTATTATCAATGACATTAATCTTGATCACTTGGCTAGTGTGTCAGGTTTTTCCACTGTAAAGTTACTTTTTCTCCTTTCTATACTATATACTAGAAGGAAGTTGCTACACACAACTCACACTCAAGGAGTGAAAAGTATTTACATACACTATTTGAAATTCTTTTGTATGAGAGATTTGTCTATTCTCTTCAATTTACATATTTATTTATTCAATCATTTATTTCTACCAATATGGAGTCATGAATATTTAAAGTTTGGGTTATAATCAAATGCTACTCAATTTTTTTAATTTGAATTGTTCCAGCTTTGGTTACTGAGGACCCCTTCAGTTGGCTCTTCTGTCCCTTTGGCATACCCAACCATTGTGCTGTGTTTTGTTTTGTTTTTTGCACTTTCTTTTTTTGTGGCACAAGATGCTACTAGCTCATCTTGTATATTTACTGCCCCAGTCCTAGAATCGGTTATTTCTCCAAGGAACCCTGATTCTTTTTTTTGGAACCAAGATCTGGGCACTAAGTATGCTCCCGTTCTAGTTATTTTTCAGCCATATAACTACTACCAAAGATGCTTCATTGTGGCTGCACTGATGTGAACTGGGAATTTTAGCAGAAGAGCTCAGCTTTAGAGAATAGTAATCTCTTAAATTACCTATTTTCAAAGAATAGGTAAGTATAAGCAGAAAAAAATGCAAATAATTTCCACTGTAAACTATATAAGACAAACCATCAGGCTTGCTGTATTGTAAACCAACACAACATAGTCACAACAGAATTGCAGAAGGATCTTTAGAATAACAGAGTCATTTGTCGCGGGTCATCAGGGAGAATACTGATAGTATCTTCGGCTTTGCCACATAACAGACACAGCATGGTGTACTCCTAGAACAAGATAAAGTACATAATTACCTTGAGAAACAGGGAGAAAGATGCTTCCTATCTTACTCAGGTAGAGCTGTTCTCTACATTGTCATGGATATTCTTTCTGTACATTAGATCAATTTCTTCAACACCTATAATCAATGTCTTAGGTTTATTCTGTGTATCCCAGAACCTTTTGTTTATATAAATTGAATACATGCTGATGCTCTATTTATATGTACACAGAATGTCATCTTGGAAATGCTTGACCATTTCTTGTATTTAAAAAACATACATACTGGGCTTGCTTAGTGCTGCTATTTAAAGTAATGAAGCAATTTGAGTGTGGGCTCCTAAGGACAAATTCCTGTTCTTAGAGTTATTCCTTTCTAGGATATTTAGCACTAATATGCAACAGAAATGATTTTTAAAACAACAAAAAAGGGAGAAAATTCCTAAACCAAAAAAGCTATTTTTATCTACCCCAAGAAAATAAATAATTATGTTAAATCCACTAGTATGTTATGCATGCCTCATAGTTAGATAACTAGTTGTCTGGAATTTGATCTATTTAAGTTTTACGTTTCATGGGCTTCACAAATGTCCAGACTGATGAAGGGATTTTGTTTTAGGTAAAAATCCTTAGAGTAAAGTCTTCTTCTTATAGCTGTCCCTTTCTAGAATATTTAATATGGTCATAAACTATAGAAACATTTCTTTTAAACCTTTTGCTTAAAAACCTTTTCTCGTCTTTAGGAAAATAAACATCTATGTTACATCTATTAGTACCTCTACACCTGACATTCAGATTGCTAGCTGTCTGGAAATCGATCAGTTAAGGAAGTCTGTGTTTCATGGGTCTGGGCAGTCACTAAAGAGAGGGTCACAGAGATAAACAATGACTA